CTCTCTCTCTCTCTCTCTCTCTCTCTCTCTCTCTCTCTCTCTCTCTCTCTCTCTCTCTCTCTCTCTCTCTCTCTCTCTCTCTCTCTCTCTCTCTCTCTCTCTCTCTCTCTCTCTCTCTCCACCCCAGCACACACCTACCGCAGTATGGCGTCTGTGCAAAGGTGTCCATATAGCCGGCGCCACTGAAGCCTTCGTTCTCCACATTAGTGAGGTCAATGACCCGTCCTTCTGAACACGCTCCTGCTTCGAAGTCTTCATAGCTGCGAGCGGTAATAACAGGTTAACCTGTGTATAGCGGTCATGCCACTCGAAGGGAAACGCCAAGAGTAGTTTTATCGGACAAGTACGTGATGCTTCTATAGAGATCGGTGGCCATTTTCTTTTTTTCACCACGTGAGATACAATGAGTAATGTACATTAATGCTGTAATGTAGTTGTATTAAAGTAATGTATTTGTATATGTAACGTAATGTAAAGTAATACATTTTAATAGTGTTCTTTTTTCTTATTTTTCTGGATTTTTTGTCTTTTGCTTTTCGAGAGGGAGTTCCATGCATCTGTCCTGTAAATTTTTGTACATTGTTCCGCGCCAGAATGCTTATGGGGGGGGGGCAGTCATAAAACATGTACGAGTATAGAATTGTATGTAAGAGTAGAAAAATACAAATAGAAATGTAAACTAAAAGTAGAAATGTAAACTAAAAGTAGAAATGTAAACTAAAAGTAGAAATGTAAACTAAAAGTAGAAATGTAAACCAAAAGTATAAATGTAAACTAAAAGTAGAAATGCAAGCTGTAATCTAATTATATCCGATAAGATACGAACGTACAGGCGCACGTGCAGGCGTGCGTGCGTGCGTGCGTGCGTGCGTGCAACTGTACTTACCTGTTGCATTCGACAGCGATGTAGGGGCAGCTGCCTTTCTTCAGCATGTCTATGTACAGGACAGTCGATCGCTTGTGACTGCAGCCAGCCAAATCTTGAAACACCTCCAGGACTGCATGGCGGCAAACCCATGTGAAAGTAACAGATGTAGATAGATGCTGATAGAGACGGTGTTACGCGAAAACAACAACCCTTATCTTACCTCTATAACACTTTTGACATTCGTTTATAACATGTGTGTGTGTGTGTGTCTCTCTCTCTCTCTCTCTCTCTCTCTCTCTCTCTTTCTTTTCTCTCTCTCTCTCTCTCTCTGTGCATGTGTGTGGGCGTGTGTTTTGTGTGTATGTGTGTACGTGTGTGTGTACGCGTGTGCGTGGTGAGTGTTTGTGTGTGTGTGCGTGCGTGCGTGCGTGTGTATGCTTGATTCGTTCATACGCGCGTGTCTTAAAGTGATTACGTCACCGTTAATAGTAAACGTTTTGAAAAAAATTCCGCTTTTTCACAAAATTTAAGTAATTCTGTTCACTTTTTATGGTTAAATAACTGCATTATACTTCCTAGTTTACTATATTGTTCAATGTAAACATACACTCGTGACTCATACATAGCCCATAGCAAGCAATTAATGTCAGGTTTATAATATCAAATCGTCCACGTTTTTTGGATTTTTAACTAGTTGAGAAACAATCTTATCAGGTAAGAATTTGACGATACATTTAGTGCCGTTAGTACTTACTTTTCATGAAAAAAAATGGCAACAAAATTTTTTTAATATACACCATAGAAAATTCGTCACGTAGTCAATTTAATTCCACACTTACGTTCGCCGGAAAGTATGGCCTCCAGCGCTCCCGCTGCTGGCTTCTTACACCCCGGCTGAATAACGCCGCCATTGGGGTAGATATCCACGTGACCATGTCTCGCCGAAATTCCTGACGCAAAGCAAAATGTCTATTAATGTTTATTGTGTAATGCACTATGTCTAATGTCTATGTCTAATGTGTATGTCTATGTCTATATGTCTATATGTCTATATGTCTATATGTCTAATGTCTATGTCTAATCTCTATGTCTATGTCTATATGTCTAATGTCTATGTCTATGTCTATATGTCTAATGTCTATGTCTAATCTCTATGTCTATGTCTATATGTCTAATGTCTATGTCACTATGTCTATATGTCTAATGTCTATGTCTATGTCTATATGTCTAATGTCTATGTCTAATCTCTATGTCTATGTCTATATGTCTAATGTCTATGTCCATGTCTATATGTCTAATGTCTATGTTTATATGCACCATGTCTATGGTCTATATGGTCTATATGCACCATGTCTATGTCTAATGTCTATGTCTAATGTCTATGTCTATGTCTAATGTCTATGTCTAATGTCTATGTCTATG